TGTGTGTGTGTGTGTGTGTGTGTGTGTGTGTGTGTGTGTGTGTGTGTGTGTAATTAGGTGTGTGTGTTTGTGTAAGTGTGTAAGTTTGTGTAAATGTGTAAGTGAGTGAGTGGGTGAATGAGTGAGTGGGTGAGTGTGTGAGTGAGTGAGTGAGCGAGTGAGTGAGTGAGTGTGTGAGTGAGTGAGTGAGTGAGTGAGTGAGTGAGTGAGTGAGTGAGTGAGTGAGTGAGTGAGTGAGTGTTTGTGTGTCGTGTTTAAATGTGTGCGTGAGTGAAAGCGCTGGTGATTGAGTGAGTGAGTGAGTGAGTGAGTGAGTGAGTGTGTTGGTTGGTCCGATTGTTAAAAGAATGAAACAGTTTGTTCTTTCTCTTCTCTGTAAACCCTATCCGTACGTCGTGTTTTACTATCGTATCCTTACGACGTGGGGAACTCTGTGCCACCACTTAACCCTATCCGTACGTCGTGTTGTACTATCGTATCCATACGACGTGGGGAACTCTGTGACACCACTTAGCCCTATCCGTACGTCGTGTTTTACTATCGTATCCTTACGACGTGGGGAACTCTGTGCCACCACTTTCCAAAGAGGACATTTACTCGTTAATCCGATCCGTACGCTTTACATAGCAGTCTGTCAAAATGATTTTTTGAGAAATACTGAAAGTTTCAAAGAGATCTTCGTATTAGAAGTATTCTAAACTGTGAAGAATACAACCCCGGGGGTAAAAAAATGACACCAGGGCATACGGATAGAGTTAGAATTCTTTGCTTTTTGAGATTAAAACATAATTCTAACAGCTCGCTCGCAGACGACATTCATCCAAAGTAGTTGTCTCACCTTCGTTACACTTCTGATGGGGGATGTAGGCGCCGTTGATGCAGGAGTAGTAGAAGGTACACAGTGGCAGACCTCCAACGTTGTCCGGGTTGGTCTCCGCGAAGCGATGTCCTGGTCCTGTGTAGTCCATGCACTCCTCGCCACGACTGTTGCACGGGAAGGGTACGTTCTGCTCCTGACTGTTTTGGGGTTTTGTTTTGGGGTTGTTTGTTGTTGGTTTTTTGTTTGTTTGTTTGTTGTTGTTGGTTTTTTTTTAGG